CAGAGACTTTTTTTTAAAAAAAAGGCAGGGCGGCTGTAGCCTCTATATGTAATCCCGGGAGATGCTGAGGGAAAAGAAGAAATGAGGTGCTTCTGCTGGGCTAAAAGGAGAAGCATTTGTGGGCTCTGTCCTAGGGACTCTGCGGGATCCTTAGTACAAACGCCTCCCTGACTAACGGGTTCTTCTAGGCTGATTTGCGGGACCGAAGCGAGTCGCTAGAAGTTCCGGCTCTGTTCTTACACATTTATTTGGTTGTGAATTGGACTCATGGCTGAATAGATGTAAGAAAGACAGGAAAAGACACGTGTTTGGGGCACCTAAGACAAACTTATTTTACAGTTGTGTTCAAAATTATTCATCTAAGACAAACTTGTTTTATTGTGAGCTTTTGTTAAGTTAAAATGGGCTGCCTCAGACACATTTAGCACAATACGCCACAGGTTAAATGGGCTGATACACGGGCTGAAAACACACAAGAGCTGACTTAGCAAATCCCCATGGATTCGGCCTACTCTAGTAGTAACTATCTACAGTACTGTACTGGCTTTCAGCCACAATGTACAGTACCAGGTTGTGGGGTGCTGCTGACCTAGTGAGATGGGGGGAAAGAGTGTGTCAGTAGCATTGGAAGTGAGCTTTCAAAGAAACGCGTTGGCAAGTAACGAACACTCACAATATTGTATGTCTGGAAAAACTTCCTAACTGTTGTGCAGCTTGCCCAAGGTGTCACACAGACTGTTTTTTTTCCCCTTGAGATACAGAGAGAATTTGAACTCTCAACCATATACCTGACTGAGCTATCCAGCCAGCTGCCACTGATGTCCCCCAACCTTCTCTGTACACCCCCCCAGGAGGGAACAGGGTGGGCTGCTGGCCACTGTTTGGAAATCAGAACCCAGTGTGTCCCATGCCTGCCCCTGCTAGCCAGTGAGTCTTGTGTGGCCTGGGAGTGCAGGTGATTGGCCAAAGCCCCCCCCCTTACAGGATTGTTACACCAGTACAGTTGTTCTGTATTTGGGGAAAGAAAATCTTTGCATTTGCTAGGCTTGGGCCTAGCACAGTCAAGCTGTTTTCCTCCTTAGAAAATTATAAAGTGGTACTCACCTCTCGTGTTTACTTAATGTGTTTAGTTGTATTTACATTAGAGAGAATAATTTCAACCCTAACTTTTTAGTTCCATCCTTAAGCCAAAGTCTTTTATCTTTTGAAAAATTCTCTTTTTCAAAACATAGAAAACACACAGATGCCTGTGATGGAAAAATAATCTGGCTTCACCATAAACTTCAGATATGTTTTTAAAAACTACTATGTAAATAAACAAAGCAAAGAGTCAATAGCTACAAAACTCCTTTGACTCCCCAATTTCTCTAAAACAAGAAAAACCTCAAAAGAACCACAGCCACTTACAAAAGAGGAGTTGCCATTTCAGCCTGCCTCTAAAAGTAACAGGTCCTACATACCTCAAGGTTTTACTCTTCTACCCCAATGAACAGTTGGTGTATGTCTTTAAGTTTTCATTTCAGAAACACATTCCAGGATCGGATATGAGTCAAAAGCTGGCCCTACCTTAATTGGAGATAAGAAAGTTAAAAAATAAACATTTTCATGCTATAGTAGCTAATCTAAAAATGTCCATTTTGGTAAAAAGGGACAGTAGAAATGGTAACACAACTGCGGCATCAGTAAATAATAGCCATAAGAAAAATGTTGCCAAAATGAAACGAAAATGCATAGTCTCCACTATTAATTCTTTGCAGAAGAATTAATAAGTCACAAATGTATAGTGGATAGAGCTATTGTACAACTTTTTAAAAGGAAAGTCTCTTATTCTGGATTGTAAGTTTTATTGATATGTGCAGCAGAACATTTTATCTTTGGAATTCCAAGAATGCATCCTAAAAATAACAAAAACAAAATTGATTTTGAATAGAAGCACTGAATAACAAGGAGTAAGCTTCACTGAACTTCATGTGATTTATCTCTGTATAGATTTGTATAATATTGTATTACAGATTATTTGAATATACTAGATTGCACTGAAAGGATAAATTAATAATTGTTGAAATCCCATTGATTTTAATATGAAGTAATAGTGTAAAGATTTCTATTCACATATGAATCTCCATAAATTAAATGGTACTTAAGACCAGGTAAATGCATATAAGATTGCAACTTTAGTCTGATTCCAACCCATTAGATCTAAATATTGCTTTTTAAATATTTTTTTAATTATGTAAGCTGCCTTGGGTCCTTTTTAAGGAGAAAGGTAGTGTAAAAATAATTTAAATAAATATTGTCTCTGTATTAGTAGTGGGCCAGTGTTGGGGAGCATATTATCCTTGTCAATAAAAAAAATGTTACTGCAAAATCTGAACCTAATGCCATTTTTTAAAAATATCCTGATTTTACAGTCATTGTGCAGTAGAGTTTGAGGGCCTAAAAAATAACTTTCATGTTTTAAGTGGAGACTTCTTTGACTCTAATAATCTCTAGTCCAGAATTTTCCATAATGAATCCAAAGGTTAAATCTTAAGGATTCTTTACTCAGGTATGTAAAACTGGGTACCAAACAGTAAAGAAAAAGTATTTTTTTGAATTAACCTTTTGTCAATTTTATAATGTATGTTATCTGACAGCCTTATTGTCCAAATGCATTCAGACCATCTGCTGAGGCAAAATCCCTTAAGTGCCCTCCATTTCTTAGTGCTTACTAAATGTGCAGCAGCTAAAAGAAGTGAGATCAGGTCCTTATGGAGGAGACTTTCACACACAGTAACAGCAACTCTGTGTTAAAATGTGTTTGCTGATCTGTCATTACAACCGGAATGTACCTACAGTACTTGTTCCTAAAAATGCTTGAATAAAGGGCATAGAAATCACACATAAACAAAGGAATCTTTTTTGCATAGGTATGCCAGCATTTTGAAGATAGCTGTTAATTAATTCTGTCCAGTTTGGTTGGTGATAAATGCCATCTATGAAGTATTTTTACAATTTTATAATGTATGTTCTCTGACAGCCTTATTGTCCAACCAAATGCATTCAGACCATCTGCTGAGGCAAAATCCCTTAAGTGTCCTCCATTTCTTAGTGCTTACTAAATGTGCAGCAGCTAAAAGAAGTGAGATCAGGTCCTTATGGAGGAGACTTTCACACACAGTAACAGCAACTCTGTGTTAAAATGTGTTTGCTGATCTGTCATTACAACCGGAATGTACCTACAGTACTTGTTCCTAAAAATGCTTGAATAAAGGGCATAGAAATCACACATAAACAAAGGAATCTTTTTTGCATAGGATAAACTCTGTGTTAAAATGTATTTGCTGATCTGCCATTACAACCGGAATGTACCTACTTGTTCCTAAAAATGCTTGAATAAAGGGCATAGAAATCACACATAAACAAAGGAATCTTTTTTGCATAGGTATGCCAGCATTTTGAAGATAGCTGTTAATTAATTCTGTCCAGTTTGGTTGGTGATAAATGCCATCTATGAAGTATTTTTAATGCATTCTTCTTTAGCTGGGCTAATGTGAAATTAAACAGAGGTGGAACTCAGAACCTTTCCCTTTGGAACTGACGTATGATAGATTAAGGTCTGTTTCCCATGTTAGAACCTACATTGTCTTCATACTTTTCCTGAATTACCTATCTATGCAGCATAAAAACTTGGCCTTTAGTGGTGTCTGCTAAAACTACACATAAAGATTACAGTCTTGGAGGATCTGCCTTCTTCTGTTTAGTGTTCAAAAGCCACATTCTTGCTGTACTTGAGATCAAAAGGGTTGCAGATTTTGTAACTTGCTTCTCAGTTGTTCCGCTATTAATCATTTTTTTTACAGAAATATCCCTGACTATCTATGTACCCTTTTCTTGCCAGCCTATATATTATAAGAATTTCATCTGGGAAAAGGAAATTAGGAATAATTTAATACTGGACAGAAGGGTGAAGTGGATGGAGCCAAAATTATAGCCCAGGTTCACCAGGTGTAAAATGTTTCACCTAACAATTTCCATTATTGCCCTTTTTTGGTGGTGGTGATGGGTGGTGGGATAAGAATATTAATGAGAGCAGAGGGAACAATTTTATGTTCAGCTGTTCAGTTCCATGAATACCTAGTGGATGGTTTCATCGTTCATTGCTGTTGTTTAGACGTTAAGTCATGTCTGACTCTTTGTGACCCTATGGACCAGAGCACACCAGGCCCTCCTGTCCTCCACTATCTCTTGGAGTTTGTAAATAATTAGTAATAAACATTTTTAATGGAAAGGAGCTAAAACAAATCTTAATATTGGGTTTTGCTAAGACTGCTGTCTGACAGAGATCATAAACAATGTTGTTGAAGAAATGGAGATGTTTACTTTCTGCAATAAAATTGTTGATAAATTTCCATCATTCTTTCAATTTTGGTGCTAGGGAACATTGTTGGATTACGTATTTCAGAAACCCCAACCAGTAAAGCCTTTAGTCCAAAAATTGGGGACCCATATTTGGAAACTACTGCTTTAGGGGTTCTTCTTCTATGATATTCTGGCCTGATATCACATTAGGAAATTCTGGGATTCCTATTTGGGTATTTGAGCACAAAGCCAATTTTCCTCCACTTTACACCAGACCTGTGATGGGAACAACAATACAATATCAAATTCAACAAAAGTGTGGTGGAAATAGAGTAGCAGCATAGACAAATTCTCAATGATATATGTCTAGATCTTCCCACTTCACCCCAAGTTTGAGATCAAGAGTAAACAGCCAAGGCTTTACAGATGTTTTTGGACTTAGAAAGTCTAAAATAATACCTTGCTATTGGCTAGGACTGCTTTCAGTTGAAGGCTCCAGATGCCCAGCCCTGGTACAGGTAAATCAATAGAAATGTATGCAGTTAATTC